AATTTGAAAGAAATTTTGATTTTCTTTGGAACTTGGTAGAACAGTAAATGAAGTAAACAGATCCTAGTTTGACTCTAGTTTCTGTAAACTAATTCCCAAAAATTTATATTTGTACAAAAATCCGCAGTCTACTCATCAGAATATAATAAAATCGGTCACATCACACGCAACGATCCAATACTTCCTGGGAAGAATAATTTACCACGGCCTGCATCAAACGACTCACGGTTCCTCGATCGATCCGCATAACTACGCGTGCATTAATAAGAATGATCGTATCTGACTTTCGACTCGCTAACCGCTATTCCTACGATTACGATAAACCTTCAATTCACGAAAGTGCACAGTGCAGATTTTTAAATTGTTTCCTCGCCTGTTTCTCTTAGCTACTTAGTCGAAAGAAGGAAGGAAGGAAGAGGTGGGGGGTGTAGTTCGATTAATTGGGAAATGGGTTTCGCTACTTAGAATAGACGTGCTAGAAATTTCGCGATCCATCTTGCGACTCCCTCATCGAGAGAAGATATACTACGTACATTTTTGTTCGGCGCGGTACACTAACGAGATAATCGTTACGAGAGATGATCGAATAACGCTTCTGTACAATTGTATATATATATAGAGAATCTCGGAGTATTTTCATTTTTTCTCTTCGCTTATTCTACCGTGCACTCGTTTCACGAGCATTGCACCTGCGCTAACTTAACTGTAAAACGTTTTTTTTTTCTCATTCAATACTGCGTCCAAGCCCTTGAGCATTATAAGATCCATGTAGATAGATATGAGATTTCGAAGGTGCCGCTCTTTGAATTTTGTAGACAGTGAGACAGTTAAATTTCCTACAAACTATCGGGAGATATGTTTTTTAACTCGTAATTTCATTTTGTTATTTGCGATCGAGGCGTTGCCAAGCTTTCGAAATGGAGCGTAGAATTACTTTTTTTTTTTTAGAGGCTACAAGAAAGACGAAGATTCTGTTGTTGAATCGATCACTGTCTACAAAACATGATTAATTTCGTCGTAAAGCTTAAGTACACGGTTCCTCGTTTTTTTTCTATATGTCGAAGAGACAGCACTCTCTGTTACAATATTGGATATGGCAGGGATATGACTCACGGGTTGTAAACGATTACAGATGTAAGAAGTTCTGCCGATAGGCTGCACGGAAAAAAATATTATCTATTTCAGATTCATCTCAGAGTCACGAGACTCATGCTGGATATTGAACTCAAGTTGTTGTACGCGCGAACTAGATTAGTGATATGCTAAGGTTCAACATTCCTGATCACAGGAGCTTAATTTAATTAGAAATTTATTTAGTCCGCGATTCGACGATACCTGTTAATAGAACAATATTAGAACGCTTCGAATTGATATATAACACGTGATCTCGAATCGAACAAATCCAATTTCGGTCTACGAAAACAAGTATAATCCGTGAAAAATATTTTCATCCGTGAAGACTAGGCGCTCGATCACAGACGCAGACATTTCGTTTCTGCAAAGTCGACGCTTTCTACAAACTATATAAAAATACAAAATACAAATGCCATTTTATTTTTTGTTTCATCATTGCCGCGGTATACCCACCCCTAAGAAAACGCGAATCTCCTCTCTCGAACTTGAGATTGGATGGTATCATTGCACGAATGGTTTTACACTATTTAGACGAACGTTTGCCCCGACGAAGGTTTTTAAAAAATTGCGTGATCGTCGACGGCGGCCGCGCAGACATTCGTGAACTAACTACGAAGTATAGGATGCTCCAAATATTTCACCTACTATGGTTAACAAATGTTTGAAAAATCACTGTTTCTCATTACTCATTTAAAGTCTCTAAATTGGTGAAAAAGTTTTATTCTTTATTGATCGGTTCAGAATCATCTTATATTTCTCAAGTAAAGTTGTCTCCTGTTATTTCGACATCGAAACGGCACAAAAATTAACGATGCGAATGAAAAGCTTTATGAGAAAGTTTTATGAAATTATTCTCTTTCCTACGAACTCTGATTACACAACGATAAATATGTCAATTACGGCTCTGTCCTTTTGCTCTTTTAGAATACTAGTACAAAATTATAGTCCTCTTTACAGACAAAAATGTTAAAGCAGATATTAAAGAAAACCAGATCGTAACTTTTCTTCCTTCTAGAAACACTTTCACCGTACTCTCGCATACCTTTTAACTGCAGGCAATCGTATCTTGCACGTTTATCTCGGAGCAACCTGTCTACTTTTAAGTCTACATGGGGAGAAAAGAAGTCTTCGATTCGAGGCTGCCGTCGACGTTACAAAATTGTCGATCTCACACGATAAGCCGTTTTCGAATTTCGATCCCAGTAGTTCCACAAATTGGACAATGGTTAGTAGATCTATTGTTGCACAGTTCTTCTCGCGGTAGTCATACGTCCATACAGATACACGTTATTGTATACAATGTACACACTAATAATCGGTTTACACAATAGGTACTTGGTATGAAAGATAGTAAAATATTACCTCTGTTCTGTCTAATATCTCCGGTTCTACGTTCTCTGTCAGCGATACTATTATGTCCAGAGGCAGATATATTACAACTCTCGCGCAGATAGCGTTGAACCGATGAAAAAGTAACGAGCGTTCCTTCAACCGGCTCATTCTACGTGATCCGTGTTACAATAGAAAATAGACGTATTCGAGGCTCGTTGCTACACGTTACTAGGTTAGAAAGTTCCATTATTTTTTCATCGGTTCACCACGATTCTGTTAAATACTCGAACCCTGCAGGCAACGACGTTTCCAGCTGGAGAATCGTTCGTACGCCCCGGGTGTTCGACGGCAAAAGCTAACAAGCTAGATGCTTGAACGGATCAGTCGTTAACGCTTGAAAGAACGTGAACTCGGGTTTCATGGAAGAACCGAAATTTTCCTCGATACTATAGTCCCCCGCTACGAGTCTTCCCTCTCATCGTGTATTGTCGCGAGTCGAGATCCGTTGACGTTCGTTCGCAAAAGTAATCACCGCGGGTTGCGAAACCATGTTTAGAGAAACGTCGACGATCATCGACGATCCAGTCTATCGAGAGCCTAGTGTAACGTGTGTTTTCTTTTTTTACGACTACTGTTTCCTGCGTTCTCGTGTATGTACAATTGGTACCGGCGATGACCACCGGTAGACCTAGTTGTTCGTGCATTGAACGGGTATCCTTTGCGAACGCAAATAGTCCGCGGGAATTTTATTTAACGTGTACGGAAATGTAACGTGGTCGTACGCTAATTGGGGTATCGCTCTTGGTCAAAATACCGTTCGACGTTTTCAAGGCAAATACGAAGACGATCCTCTAATACAAAATCACGTAATTCAGTCGTACCTTCTAAAAGGAGATCCTTACTTGCCGGTTCCTCGTCCAATGCAATCGCGACGAGAATGAGCGTGAAACTGGTCAGACAGAAAATGAATATATCGACATTCGTATCCTCTACCTAGACGCTACTTCATAGAAATTGTACACTTTTGATTAACACGACAACGAGCCTTTAGAACGTTACTTCAAATATCCATGAAATCACTCATGGCGTAAATCTTAAGCAATCCGTTAAACAAACGACTCGTCAACTGAACCGGTATCATATCGATCGCAAAGGAACTTGGTAACCTAAAGTCACCGCTAATGAGATCTTCTTCCAGCAGAAATCAACGCATTCTCTCTTCGATATCGCGAAGAAACAATAGCAAGACTCGCTGTAGTGAATTCTAACTTGTCAAAGAGACATACGCAACGGGTCACGAGACACGATTTCCATTCAACGATCGAAATACCAATCACGAAACGTCTCCTCATAACGAGGGTTTCGAGGATGTAGACACTGATCAGTATCAATGTCCTCGTTAGCTCTAGGATCGTGCGGAACGAACGATCCCCCCATAAGGAAATCCCCGACCGGTTATCGAACCTGTCAACTCTGGTCGTGCATCACAAGTAGCAAGTTTTGTAATAAATGAAGGCGACGGTGTCTTTGCCGAATGTCCTGCATTCCCTTTCATAGTGTACCTGTCCTGGCTCGTACTTTCCTCCTGGCGCATACTTGTCCAGCCTCGAGAGATTCCTGTAGAGTCTCAGATAGTCATCTTGGAGTTGGTCCTCCCGGTGTCTTCGGCGACGTTGACCGTCGTCTAGCCTGTCGTCCCTCCAATTGTTCGATAGAAAAGAGGGCACGTCACTTCGATCCCGGATCCTGCCATCCAGCTCGAGGCCTGATAGGTCCTGCAAGCTCTTTGGATAGCAGCGACGCGATTCGAGAGAATTGCTCAGCTGATCCCTGAAATTGATGGTTCTGTTTCGTCTGGGCAAGGTCGAGCTGTAAAGCCTCTCGCCTCTTCTGTGACTAATGCCGTTCCTCAGGATCGGCTTAGAGCCGCCGCCTCCGACGTTTAAATCACTCGGCCCGGCTCTCCAGGTGTTTCGATTCTCGTAGGCGTCCGCTGGATCGCGCTGCCTCGTTCGTCGCGGCTGCATCTCTTCGTCGCGATCGACGTAATTCGCGACGGTGCCCCTTTCTTGCGGGCAAACGTTCTTCGAGCAGACGGATCTGTCTCGGTGATTCCTTTCGGCACGACCGTATCGGGGATAATTCGCCTCGCGACCGTTCCCCCGTTCCTCGAGCCGATTCGAGGACCGATAATCGTCCCTGATCACCTCACCGTTGCTTCTATACGCGGTCGCGATGCCTCGGCTGTTCTCGTCGGTGGAACGACGACCCGTGAAGAATCCACGGGACTGCATGAAGCTCTCGACGTTTCGGCCGATCATGTTTGTCTTCTCGGCGAAGATATTGCAATAGTCGGACAGCTTCCGACGATTATTTCGGCCGAACGCGTGATAGGAGGTCGTCGTTGCAGCATCGCCTGCCGAACCCCTGTTGTATAGATCCCGTGGATCGTGTTGATTAGGATAAGCTCCGCCTGGCAGGGGCTTGTTGGCCTTCTCAAGATTCGACAGGCCCCCTGTCAGCGAGGCCTTATACTACCGAGCCTGCGCGTAGTCTGGGTTCATCTCGTCCAGCTGTTTTCCTTTCGTTTCCGGGACGCAGCATACCACGAAGCACAAGCCACAGACGGCCACCGCCGCGTAGAACCAGAACGCCCCGTGTAGGCCTAACGTCTGTAACACGTTACCGGTTATTTGCGGACGAGTTTATAAGATCGTGTAAAATGTCTACGGTGTCTGCGACAGACGAGCACTTAGCTAGGACTTGGGTACCTAAACAGACGTCACGGTCAGCTGACTTGTGAGTAGAGTGCTTACGTAACGGAGGTAATTCTTGTCGAGTAACATAGACGCTAAGAGATCGTAATCATTAAATCAATGTACTTGACCATGTATCGTTATATACATATAGTTCAAGGTGCTTGTTTGGGGATTATTTAGTATTCTCGTCCGACGATCATTATTCGATTACAGTTTCTCACCTGCTGAAAATCCATGAACAGTTTAATCCCAACGAACGCACAGAAGTAGCTAAAGCTCGTGCTGATACTCGAACCAAGGCCGCGGTACTCCAGGGGAAAGAGCTCGCCAATCAATAACCACGAAATTGGCGATATGCCCAGAGCCAGAGCAGTCGTGAAGACGAGTACGCAGAGTAACGGTATCCAGTCGTGCTGACCAACAACCGCGGTGTCTGCGTACCCTAGATTTTGTGTTTGTGACACGTAGTATGCATAACTGCCGAAACCTGCTAACGCCAAGGACATGAAGACGGTGCTGGCTATCAGAAGCGGTAGCCTGCCCACGATGTCGATCAGGAATCCTGCAGAAAAGAATATGTAATTGTATTCAGGCTAGAGATGGCTGCAACGCCTTCGGTCACCGTACCTGACAGCAAAGAAGCCAATAATTGTACGAAACCAATGGCAATGGTCGCCCCGTGAGGATTCATTCCACCCAGAGTTTGTCGGAATATAATCACCGCGTAATAATTGAACGCGTTCGCTCCCGAGAACCTTTGGAAGAACATTAATCCGCACGTGATAGCGATGGGCTTGTACAGTCGAGGCGTGAACATGCTGTTCTTGAATGTCAGCTCGTATTGCTTCGCTCTGGATGCCAGAATATTCGTCTTGATCACCTGTAGCAACAGATTTTAGAGACTCGATTGTGGATACTTCTATTAGATATTCGTGAATCGATACGACGTATGGGCGTTACCTGCAGCTCGTGTCGTATGTCGACGTGATCACCGCGCAGCCATTGCAAGCTGTTGGCAGCCTCGTCGTCTTTGCCATTCAAAACGAGGTACGACGGCGTCTCCGGTATAAAGAGAGTCCCCAGAAAAAGCATCGACGGCGCAACTGCTACCAGCAGCGCGCTTTGACGCCAGTTCAGGTACGTGCCCGCTATGTACGACAATAACACGCCGACGTGACCGAGAACCTTCAACATCGCCGACAGGCAGCCTCTGATGCCCGGCATGGAGATTTCTGATATGTATACCTGAGTAGAAAGGAACATTTGAAGTTTAATATTCGTAGCACCTGGAAGTCATAGAAGCTTCTCTCGATGATAATAATAGAGATCGGTCTAATTTGTATTAGTTATAATCATTCGATTATTCTCAACGTTTTCTTCAGAGCGATTTTCTCGTTGCTCAAATCAAAGACTGTGCCGCTTTAAAGAAACTCAGCTTCGGCACGTGTAATTTGTCGATCGGTCCTCACTGTTGATGACACCCCGGGGCCACACACACAGTTCAGTTAACCCTTAATTACACACCACTCATCTCGGAGATGAATAATCCGACAACGGCTAACTTTGTAACATTTTTAATAACCAACGTGGTCATTAATCTATTATCACATTGTTAATCACGAATGTGGTGATAGTGAAAGAAAAAATCATATTCGTCTCTGAGACGAATGTGGTCGGTAGTATAACATTAACTACAATATGACTTAAACCAATTGACACTTATTCGATGGGTTCAATATTCTGGTTAATAGAACCATCTGAACTCAATTTCAATAACGGGAGACAGGTTCGTTAGCCATCAAGAGCCATTAGTCTATACTATAGAAGCATTATTGTAAGTGGAGGAAGGCAAATCCACGTACCTGAGCGACCATAGTGATGACTGAACAGCAAAGGCCACCGATGAAGCTGGTGACGTAGACCACTTCGACGCACGGCGCGATCCCTGTGAAGATCCAGACCGCAGCGAGGGGCATGGATGTCATACGCAGTGCAAGTCGACGGCCTCTTCTCATTATCCAATCGCCGATCATAGCGCCGAACCACGCGCCCAGCATCGACAAAGACGCTACCCACGAGGCTTCTTGTTGCGTCACCGAGAAAGCCGACCTGCGACAAATCGGAATACGATTACGAACGACAGGGGACCGCATAACGTGATTCCGCGACCTAATCGTTCCTTAATACTAGGCCACAGTTGTCGGTCGCTGGTCGCGATTAAGCCGGGTGAGTAGAATCGATCGTCGTGCGTACACGATCGATCTTCGTAACCGGTTCAAGGATAGCTTACCCCGTTCGTTGTGTACTCTGTATGGAATATGGGCTACCGTTGTCTGTAGGGAATTCGAGGACTTAACGGGCACTCTCCAGCTATGGATTTCCTTGTTGATTGGGTTGTTAAGGGAGAGGATGGAATTATAAATTAATAATTCGCCGGCGATTAAGCCCTCGAGAACGAGGAAACTAGATATGCTGGAGCTAGACACGCAGAGATGGAAGATTGTAAGGGGAAATCGAGGCTTGTCCTCGGAGCATCTAATCGTATTTTGAACTTTAATTCAGCCTGATTCAATAAGTACCAGAGCGAATCGGAGACTCGTAAATCTCGACGTTACGTAAAGAAATAAACGGCGGATATTACTGGTTACTTTATGCAGTGTGATTCCTTCATAGCGAACGCGATAAACCGAACTGCTATCGCGGAGAAAGTGTGCGACAACATTTGCAAAAAAAAAAAACGGGAGTGACGTTAATGCATTTGTTAAGTGAATTATCTATGATACACGCCCGCGCTTTATTACCAGGCCGGGACGGCGCGGAGGGATATACATATCTCGTGGTATTTATTTAATTTGCTTATCTATCAGGCGACACTAATCGTTACAGGATACGACACATATAGCGCACAATTACTTACGAAGTTTCACCTTTCCTGCCCATGCCATGTCTATTAACGTTGCTGCTGGTTATTTCTTAACGCGCCAGGTACTTACGGGTTGCAACCACACAGGGGAACTTACCAGGTGTCGTTGTTCGAAGATTGATAAAGCTGAGGGGGTTGGTTGTCCAGGATGGAGTCCAAGGCCGGCGAGGTGTAACCTTTCGCCAGGCCAGAAGACAGCGTTCCCATCGACAGAGCCAGCGTGGCTAACACCTAAACAGAGATCATAATTCTAATTTGTACATCGATTAGAGTTTTGTACTAAAATTATTAACATAATCGATTCGATTATTCGCGCACTACGAGTCGAATTAATCTTTTCACGATTCGAAGATTTAACGAGGTATTCTAAGTCTAAATTTTTCGAACATCGATTGTTGCGTTTTCTGAAAGTGTAGGTTTTCGAAAGTATGTCTGTTAAAATGAAGTAACTTTTAAAATGGTTGACATGGTACCTCATGCTCTGATTAACCGATTGACTTCACATTTCGTGTACATTTCCGGAGGACGTGCGGTTATCGCATGAATCAGCACTACCAAAAAATTATTTTCTTCTTGACTTTTTTAACCCGAGAAACACGACAGAAAGACGAGGAGATCGATATTTAAACTTCAGAAAGACGTCATTTCATAAATTTTATGAATTTTTTCATGCTGGTTCACCCCATAGCCAAACTCATTAATAAAAAATCAGTCACCCAGTAGGATATTTTTTTTAACCCTCGTATGATGGACCGTGAATGCCGATTGTCGGGTCACTCGTGACCCATACTAAACACTATGTATACTGTATGAAACTTTCACATTCATTTGTACGAATTTGTAACAAATAATATAATAATGTTCATTTTTTAGATATACAGGGTATTTCATTTAACTGGAAACGGTGGAATATCTCGGGAAGGATTAAAGTTATCAAAAAAATGTTCATACAAAAGTTGTTTGGTACAAAGGGGGACATTACGTGTTATAAATAATTTTTCTGTAAGTGTAGTAGTGGGGGAGATATCAAAGTCAAGTTAATTTTTTTAAATGGAACACTGTATTCTTTTATTTATATTATGATAGTGTTTGTTGAGACGAATACAATGAACTGCCACATGATATCGAAGGTTAAGGAACCCTACTAAATAATATATAATTCATTCAATTTCAAATGCTGATTATTCTTAAAACATATATAAATACAGTGAGAGTCAAAACTAAGTGTACACCTTAAAAAACGTGAGGTTTGTGGTAATACTTCTATAGCATCTTTCTATGGACCACGGTAGTAATACAGTTGGATGTGACTTTTTTAATATTTTCGGGATAAATAGACAGCCAACATGTTCGAGAAAAAGAAATTCGGAACTATAACTACAAAATTTAATTAAACATGGTGAATGTACTATTATGGTTTGTGGGCAGCTTGGCAACCTCTGATGTAGAACAGTTGGTTATTATTCACAGCACTATGAACAGATTGGGATATTTAAATATTTCAAAATCAAACTTAGCTGCAAGCATGGGTCTTCTAGTGTGAGTTCATGACCCAAAATATGCATTGTATAGCAAAGGTGGTGAAAAATTGTTTGCTGGAAAACACTTTCAATCAGTCAGGACCTACCTCCATAGTCACCAGATCTCAATGTAATAGAGCAGCTATGCGAAATGTTAAATTTTAAAGTGAGAGAAATACATACTTCTAAAGTATATACTCACTTTTGACTCTCACTGTATGTACGCAAAAAGACGATACCAAAGAAAAGTCGTATGGTTTATTTGTTAAGGAAAAAATCCTGAAAAATGACACTCTAGCCTAGAATATCCTCTTAACACTAGAACTACCGACGATAAACGCACATTTGTTTCGACCGGTGGATAAACGTGAAAAACTTTCGAAAATTTAGAAATTGACTAATGTCTTCACTTTCACATCGCAATAAAAGGTGCAAAAGATCTGAGAAAATGTATTGTCATAACATTTTAATCGTCGTTGTAAGAGTGTATTGACAAATGAATTTGACTTGCTTGTTGGTTCTAGTGTTAGCGAGCTCGCGTATCGCGGTTCCCAAACCGACCGGCAAATTGTTAGCCGCAAATTGAAAGCCGAGCTCTCGCGACCCTTCGCTAGGAATACTAAACATTTCGTGTGCGTGCATCCCCGCAACGATCCTTCCGTAGCGCGCCACGTGCATCGAGTGCACGTATCCCGCTGCATGACACTGGTCGAGTGCTCCAGTTCCTCGTCCGCGAGGAGGCCACCGATTTTATGGCGGGTAGGGACCGAAATTACCGGGACGATGGAATTTCAGACCGGCGGAGGAACGCGAAACGTTGCAGCAACCCTTCTCATCGCGCATCGTTGGAGCCTTTTCAATGGGAGGAACACGAGAGTGGCTTCGATACGAGCCAGCGAACGTATTCCAATTTTTCTGTACACTCGTTCGGAAACTGCGCGGTTAGAAAATTTTACTGTTGCGGAAGAAACGCCGGAAATAAAAACGGGCACGATATGCAAATCCTTTTGTGTTTCTTCGCGGCTGTTCGAAATCTGGTTGCGGAATGAGATGGGAATTAAACGTGGCGCGTGGATTACGGAGTAATCTCGCTGGAGGCGAAACTGTGCTATCGTCATTTTGTGGAATAGAGCCTTTTATATTTGGCGAAAGTTTTGGACGAAGAATTTGAAATTCGATCTTGCCGTATAAGGACGAGGCAAACTCATCGTGATGGTTTTAAAGTGAATTTAGAAAACATGAATATTATGTATTTTTTTGAGTCGAAGTCAAATACTATTTTGCTGATCTTGATATTCAACTTTTAAGGCATTTATAAAGTAACTCTGGCGTGCGAAGTCGTTAAAAAAATGGTCAGGCTAGCTACTCGTGAATGGATTGATAGTTAATGAGCTGTTCATTTGCCAAAGTGGCTAACTCTACGGAGATTTCAAGGAAATTTATTTTAAATATAAAAATTTTAGTAACAGATTAAATGCTTTGGCATTAAAATTTGAAAAAGTTTAAAAAGTGGAGTTGATTACTTTGGCATGCGAAAGACTCGTTTAAATTATCCCATATATTATTTGCAATTAAAACTTAAAATATAATTAAATTAATATTAAAGGGTGGTGTATTTTGAAAAAACATTACAGACCGATGTAACGTCACTATCAGAGGCTAATGACTCTAAGATTGGTCAGTATATTGGGTTTCATAGGTTTCTGACCCGTGTATTATGTGTATAATTGACCGGTGTACAATTTCATTGGTCCCAGGACATTGGTATCAGGTTTCAAAACATTCGTATCAAATGTCAGGGATCTAAAGTTTTGAATCTACTGGGTCTCATAGCAGCATAAACTTTGTATTCAGTCTCTTAGGTCATCCGTATCACATTGCAGTCGCTCGAAGTCGTCCGCATATCGCATTTTAATGCCTCAAACTTGTTTGCATTGGGTCTCAGGGGTCTACAGTCATCCGTATCGCGTGTCCCAGACGCACAGTCGTCTATGTTGGGCTGCATAGGTCCCAACGCGGATGAGTTATGACCGTTCAGTCCCTTATCCCATCAAACCGAATACCATCCGGCCATCGCCGCACAATGTACCTACCTACTCTAATCTGTCTGTGGTTTTACGATTCATCGGATGACGTAAGGAAATCTAGTATACGCGTGAATCGCAGCCACTCTGTCCTCCCAGCTTTTTGCACGCGAAATCCAACATGACCGCTCGGTTATCTCTATCCACTCGCTCGAAGGCCTGGTATTCGTGTCGGATGAACGAGAAAATATAGATGACATCAACGATGATGATAATCGTGTCGAGGCTCTCGGTTTCTCACTTTCGCATGTCTGTGAGAATTTTTCCCGAAACGTGGCAGCTCGGACGCGAGAGGAATTATTTATGAGCCATAATAAGCGGATAATGCAGGGTGTGTCTGTAATTATTGTGCAATTGCCGCGAGTCACTCGTGGCCGGGGTTGCATCGCGTAAAATAAATTATCGCGCTTAAAGGATAGTGAGATAAATTGCATTAATTCGACGCGAAAGAGAGCGAATATTGGCCGGATATTGAATTACAGCCGGGAGACAATTCAATTTTGCGTATGGAACATTACTGGCCACCGTCACCTAATGCCAATAGCGATATGCTGGACTGTTTAATCGTAAAATATATCTGAATCCCGAAGCCGGAGTGTATTAAGTCCACTCATACTAAAAAATGACATTTTACATGTTTCTCTTTATGAGATTTTTCTCTCTTTCCGAAGGTAAAAATTATTTCATTCTAAATCGTGTAGTTTTTAATATAATAGTGTAAAAATTATATTAAGTCCGTATCTTGTTCCGAGCCAAACAGTGTAAAGTCTACGACACGAGGGGTCCTTATGCAATGTTTACCATTTCTATGTAAATATCGAGACTTATATGTATTAAGTTTATTCTATACTCCGAAGGCAGCGATTGTTCCCCGTTGAATTCTTACCGAACGGTTCCAAAATTACAAGGTACCTTTGATTTGCTCTCTCCAAAAGTTTGAAAATTGTGACATAATATACTCCGGCTCTGGGTCCCAGATATATTATATCGAATACATCGAAGATTTATTTTCAACAAATACTGTTAACAAGCTTTCCGTGCAAAGAACATATATATCGGTACTCTCCCGACAAATCGTCCGCGTCGAGCGCGGTCGTAAAAAAGGACTTCAGAAAAATTGCAAATGCGATCTCGCGAGTGCGTCAGCTGTACACGGTGCAGCTTTCTCGCGGATCCGGTAAAGCCGTGTCACTTGCACCCGTTAGAAAATTCTGTCGATATTTCATATTAAAGCCCGGACACGACGCACACAACCATCCACCCTCCCCCTGTTCCCATCATCGTGCGCGCACGCTAGAAATGGTACGACGACGATTCCGTGTCGCGTCTGTTACAGTTCTCTACGTTAGGTTAAAGGAATTTCGAAAGACACTCCGCGGCGCCGATCCCACGTAAATTTGCATATACTTTCAATATCTCACGACCCCCACCGACACGGCAGACGCGGTGTGTACGAAGCGTTATTATGCGCGATTAAACGATGTCGCCTTGCCAACCGTTCCGCCGTCGTCGCAACACACACACGCGCGCGTTCGTGGTTTAAGTGTTTTGCGAACAATAATGCGTGGGTCGCGTGCCGCTTTCCAATCGGTCGGGTTTTTACGCGTGTCTTGTTCCCTCTGTGTGATCGCGCGAAAACTGTAACGCTACCTGGGCAGCCGTCTCGCGTGAACTGATTACCGGAACAATGACGCGTGGTCGGCCGCTGCTCTTCCCGATCTGATAATCTATCTGTTCTGTTATCGAGAAGCTTCGGACGATAGATCAAGTCTGTAATTCAACCAGGAAATCGCTACCAGACATTTACGACGACGCTGATTTGTTTCAGTGGTGCTTGCGGAAGCCCCACAGTGGGTCAATATTGACCCGTCCGAATCTTCTTTCTTATTTGTCGCTTATGTATGCTATTCTTTGCTTGTGAAAACTGATACTTTCAACTGCTGGAGATTGTTTTTTTTTTTTCAACGAATATATATGTATAATTAGGATTGTATATTTATATACAGGGTGTCCCATTTAAATGAATCCCTTCGAATATCTCTGAAATTATTTGTGATACCAGAAAATGTTTTATATACATATACAGGGTGTTTCGTTTAACTGAAAACGGTGGAATATCTCACGAAGGATTAAAGTTATTAAAAAAATGTTCATACAAAAGTTGTTTGGTACAAAGGAGGACATTACGTGGTATAAATAATTTTTCTATAAGTGTAGTAGTGGGCGAGATATCAAAGTCAAGTTAATTTTTTTAAATGGAACCCTGTATTTTTTTATTCATATTATGATAGTGTTTGTTGAGACGAATACAACGAACTGCCACACGATATCATTCCCTATAGTAGGAAGTGATAAATTAGTAAGTGATTAAATTAGTGGTGTCCTGTATCCCTGTTGATGTTATTAGGGTGTTTTTGTATTTCCAACGTTTCCCGGTATTTTCTGGGAAAGTATCCTTTGGTCTTTGCTATTACTTTAGTTTTGTTGAAAAGTATTTTGTGTCCAGTTATTTTCTGGTGTTTCGACCCCCTGATGAAGCTAGCTACAATGCTTGCGAAACGTTGGGAAAACAATTCCACAAGGACACGGCTTACACCCGAAAGCCTCAACAGTAAGAACTGTATGATGCCGGGCCGTGAAAGCCTCAAATCTCTAATACTGCAAGCATACTTTAAAACAAGACCAACAGCCTCTATTAAATAAACGCACATATTTTCAACGCTTCATAAATTAAAAACAAAATAATGTGTATCTGGCTACGTATGGCCTTTTTGACTCTGGCAATCACCGTGTTCAGCGGGGAAAACTGTACTTACCCCTCTATCTGTCGCCGTACGGACCGCAGTGCCTAACAATTAGGTAGACGACGCTCTACGAGCCCGAGACCTTGGGACCGTACGACGCTGAATACAGAATAAGGACGAACGAACCGACTTGCCAACTCGTTAAATAGTTTACATACAATACTGTATAAGCGTGTACACGAAGAAAACGACTGGAGCGTACGCAAATGCGTTTACCGTGCTCCGAGGGAAATAATTGTTGTATATTTATCCTTGCTCCGTAACTCGAGTACGAAGCTCGACGTTGTCGTCACGTCCGCGTGCACCGGGAAGAAGCAGCGACATGAGTCACCCGGCGGCGGTTTACGCCATCTGACAGACTGCGGCGGGTTCTATGTAAACCACCGATGGGAACAGCGGCTGCCAGGCATTGCGTCCAACACCGGTGACCCGTTGGCAAACGCGTTAACCCTTTTGATGCTGACTCCGTGTATGTAACCACGCGTGACGTTCGTGGGCTGTTTACCAGTCGCGTCACGTCCTGACGTCGAACGTTTTGAATGGCTGAATGGACCCAATACTGCTGGTGTATCGGTCACCGTTACCACGTGGAAAAGCTTGTATTATTTGGAAATAATGGTGGCTGTGAAGTTCGGTGTGGTGTGTCGAACTAGTGAAAGAGAGAGAGAGAGAGAGAGAGAGAGAGAGAGAGAGAGAGAGAGAGAGAGAGAGAGAGAGAAAGAGGCCACACGATCCCAAAGGTGTGTGTTGTAACAAAGCGATTCAGTTTCTGCGCGAAAGCCAATAACACACGGGATATACAGTTGCCGCGGCGGATACACGATTATCCTCGCCGTCTAATTGGTGGATAATGGACAACGTCAGTGTTAGAAACAGTGCGAATCGGGATCCCGGTAATTTCTGGGGGGAACAGGCCACTAGACCCGATTCCGCTTTGATGCATGACCTGCATTCGATAATACTGAAATCTAATTCCCCCCTCCTGAGAGGGGCGTGGAGGGCTAAACGGATTTGTATCGCGCGCGTACGTTCGATTTGTTCTGTCATGCAAACACCACCCGTTGGGGGCTCGGAGCAATAATAAAACGGGCATTATGCAAGGCGGCGCCGCGGCTTTTATCGGCCGCAATATCGGTTGGCCGCTGATCAGCGGCGATCCGGTGTAATGGATGTTGTTTTAAACCGATAACGCGGCTAATTAAAAATCTGTGATGCTTCTATAGTGGTTTTGCGGGGGCGTGTGCTTGTTTCTACATCTCTTGGAATATTATCCAATGATCCGGAACGTTTTTACGATGATTATCTTTCTGTAACATTGTTCAAGCTCTGAACTGTCTGCCGTAACATACATGATCCGTACCAAATATCTGCGTTTTACAAAGGTGTTTATGACTTTGAATGGTTATTGACCCTTTTACTGTATTCGTAGCAGGTGCTGTAGAACACTGATCATCTGAATTAATAGGAAAGCAAATTCGTTCGGATGAACGGTTCGGGTGAACCAAAACGTAATATACACTACTAGCAAAAAAAAGTTACGGGATCAGATTTGATAGTCTTTAAAGAAAGAGGAAAATACTATTCTACAAAGATTTGACAGAAATAGTGTGGTAAAACTGATTGGGAATGATTGTATATGTATTAATTCCGTAGAATAACTTTTATTATATCGTAAACAGAATAATGAGTTACTGTTTCATCAATTATGAACTCTGGTTCCATACTTTCGACCGGTAGGGTACATCGTGAACTTCTTACAAAGTAATTTTCTAAGATGAATATTTATTGCACGAAGTTCGTCTAATCACACGGATAAATATTTAAGGGGCACTTAACGACCATTTCTTCAGGCTTAGCCGTTATTTCATTCAACAAGAATAGATGAAGAAATATCTCATCATAGACTACAGTTTTATGTCTTGAATTATTTTTACACGTTTCAATTTCAGGATATTGTACTGTCAATTATCCTACGTTTTCCTGTGGTTGTTTTTAAACGAATTGTTTCGGAATGCATTTGTGGCTCGTTATGTGTTCCGATAATCGGTATTCGTAACGATCGGCGTTTCCGATAATCGACGTTCGGATAATCTACCGTACATTCGCGCCATTTCCATTTTATTAATTAAATACACCAGTAAACCGAAGTGAATAGTAATTAATTTGCTATATTAGGAATTCATAATTCAGACAGTAACCCTCGCAGGGCAATGCCTGAGGCCAACTGATCCAAGTTTTTAAAATCTCCATATAACACATCAACGTGGGAATCGAGTATTAAAAAAGCAGACCCACGTGAATGATTGCGTACTTAAATATGTTGAAAAAGTAGGAAGCATAGGAGTCCAAACGGACCAAACACCGTTGCTGTACGAACATTAAAAACCAGCCGACTTCCGAGGATTAAAGGGTCAAGAGAATGTCGACTCGATGGTTGGCTCTCCATGTTTGAATTCCAAAAGAACACGACTGGATATAGGTTTCTCGAGCTTTACTCGAAGTATTCTATCATAATCTATTAATCCGTTACATCTACACGCACTCCTAGCCCGCCAGTTCTACCACCAGCACGGGATCTGTCCTCCGAGTCATTATAAACGCAGGGCGTCTCGTAAAACTTCGCGGACTGTTACGGTTCACGAAGTAGAATCGGGTGAAATGCCCCGTGCAAACAGAGCACCCGGACGGGTGGAACACTGAAAATTCAAGCGAACGATCCTCCTGGGGGAGTATGAATTTCCCGAGACGTGTGTGTGTGTGTGTGTAGGTAGGTAGCCTCGTGCGTTTCTTCTGGCAGCGGGCAGGACGTTAAAAGCTCGTTTGCTCCGAGCGCTCGCCGAGAAAGGATGTGCCTGAGTTAGGTCGAAGTTAACCGAGAGAGCCATTAGCTTAAAACTGTTAGCCGGTCTTAAGCGAAAGGAGAACGATGACGACGGAACGAAGGAAGGTAGGAAAGAGGTATGGGGGAAAAAAGAAACGGTCGAGGGAAAAAGAGCTTTGAAAGTCTTCGGGAGCAGCGGTATTATGAAAATGGCTGGTCAGTCCCTGGCCGGTAAAGTACGCGACTCTGTATAAGTACAGTGATGGAAAGCGGGATGAGGAATGAGAGAGAGAGAGAGAGAGCTTAAGTCGAGAGACCGCCTGGACGCTCGATATGCATTTTAAGCCGGACCACTCAATTAAGCTCGCAGCTATCTTCGGTATTTGCATATCAATATGGACCCATGCCAAGAAGGAAAGATTCGCCTCGCTCACGCTGGATTTGGATTATTCGACGAACCGGGTCGGGTACACGGGTATATACACCGGAAAATGCAAATTGCCCCGATGGAGTCGGGAAAATCTCTTGCTAATAACTACAATCGGAACAGGATTGGATTCCGCGTATCCCTTTCTGTCTACATCCAAAATACTCCCCAAAGACCAGTTGAACCGTGCCATTCGCTCTATGAATGAATCGTTCAAGTGATCGAATTCTGTGAATAAATTACCTGGGACATGTGCTGCGGTCTCGTCGCCGTAGACGTCATGTGTACCACGGAAGCCCTGGGCATCTTGAAGCTGTGTTCTCCTTCGTCCGGCACGGTAGTCACCTGAAACGAAGAAGACACCGAATGACAAAAACTGCAACAGTCCACATTCTACACGCAACATTATCAATCGTGCACCGTTACAGACCAAATCCCTTCGATCCTGGCAGTGTCGAATGTTCCTCGAAGCGTTCTTATCGCCAAAAGTTCGATTTTTCACGTTGAACCGGTAACAGATCGCCTTCCTAAACAGGATTAGTCACGGTTGTCCCCCGGTGTCGCCGGGGCCCATTAGCCCCGTTCCTCCGTTATCTTTCCCCACGAAAGAACACGCCTAACTATCAGCCACCGCATTGTTTTTGCTGTTTGTACACAGATATCGCCGTGATAGCTCATTGTCGGTGGTAGCAGCTAATTCATATATCCGTGACAGTCGTAAACCAGACTATGTACAGACTATATACCCGGCGAACAAGGCCCCGGCGCGCGATTGTAATTGAAAGTCCAGAACGAAAAACACGGTGGCCCCGAAAGTTTACGAGCATCCAGAAATTACAGAAGGGGAACGCGCGCGCGAGTGCCCTCTGGTCGTAGTAAGTAACTGCTACGGCCCACGATAAGACGCTCGGAGGAAGCATTGTCTAGGAACCCGGGACAGATAATTGTCCTCGGTTCTACGGGCAATTGTGACGCCCACGCTGGTCTCCCCGTGTCACACGGAATACCCAGTAACTTTTTTGCGTCCGACGGGCCGTGTCAAGTCGGGTTGCACGATGCTCGTTACATCTAAATCCTCGGCAGTCTTCCCCTTCCTCTGTCTCGCTCGCTCCGGTTCCGAGGGTTATTGCCTAGCCTGTTTATTCGCAGCCACCTGACTGGCGAGTGTGTTTCGGTCGCGATCCGACTAGTCAGTCGAAACTGTCACCGTTGGGGGGGGGGGACCGTGCATTTAGCTACCCAGACGATATTGGACACGGTGCGTGAGCCAGAGCCGCATTTCTGGACCCCCTTAGATATCGAATGAACGATGGTAACGGTTGTACGACCTGTCCGTTCCGTTTCACGCCTTTCGTGATTTACAGCGGACTGACTGGTTTCACGTGACAAAATTTCGCTCAGCGGCCAGTTATACACTTTCCTCCACCGGCGTCGTCGTCGACGTTACACCCACGAAAAAACGTCTCCTCTGTTCTATACGGGAGACTTTTCCGCGATGATTTATAGAGCAATCGTCGTCTGGTACATCTAGCCTGAGGCGGCTCTCCGCGTGGGCTCTGATAAGGAAATTTAGGAGGCGTGCCCCGCGCTCGATGTAATATTCTCGTTTTTACCCTCGCATCGACACGGGGAACACGGAATTTTTGTTTTTTTTTTCAAATGAAGATTGTTTATTGCAATGGGGAGTATCTCGAGGTCAGGTAAATTATAGACCATTCGAGAAACAGAGGATAGGATACATCCTTACAATTAAGATATCGATGGTGCACGCGTTTACGCCTATACAATGGACGAAGTAAATCATGGGACCGTGTGCCTCACCTCCTACTTCGCCTCCTACGTCATCCTCCACCCCCTGCTAGAATACTCCTCGATGACGAAACGATCCCCTTGACTGGCGATTGCTAGGCGCATCAGTGAAAATCGATGAACACACGGGGGCTGATCCATTCAACCCTCTTGATCGTACCCCGCGAATTTCATATTTCTCAAATGTCCCACTTTTTCAACCCTCCTCCATTCGACGACAGCTCACCCCTCCGTTTGCAGAGACCGCGGGAGCAACCGATTTTCAATAACCGACAAGATAACAGATAAGCCTTGGTGTAGGTCCCTCGAGATGCGATTTCTCACGTTCGCTCCCTTGGTATCACCTCCCCATCCCCCGACATTCAACCCCCGAAGACTCGCCTCCAGGGCCTCCGGAGCGCTGCGTCCTGGCGAATCGCGGGCTGAAATCAATATCTTCGGAGGTGAGGAAGCGGGAAGGCTCCGTTCCGTACGATCGTATCGAAACCGATTTGGGTGACTAATCGAGAGAGGGAGAGAGAGAAAGAGAGAGAGAGAGAGAGAGAGAGAGAGAGAGAGAGAGACAGACAGAGCTTAGGGCAGGTCGAACGGGCTCACCGAGCGCTATTATCGTGGAACGCGGGGAATTTCAATCGAAAAGTGTCACGTTTCCATCGGTTCGATGTAAATTGTACCACGGAAAATCGAATTACGGTTGATTCTACTTTAGACTCCTGCTGGGTCCCATGAAAATTCAGCGGTTTCGCCGGTTAACATCGTGAATCCGAAATGATTTCGGCACCGCTGAAACGAATTTCTCCGGTTAACGTGGTGAATTTCAAAGATTTCGAAACCGCTGGAACGATTCCACGGGATTGTAATCCTTCCCACCCCATCGCTTCAACGAGGGTGGAAATACGAAGCTCGGTTCGAACGCAACTTCGTGGGGAACTGCACCGAGAAGAAGTTTCAGTCCCGCTGAAGGTTGCGGAAAATTAAAAGGAAGGCGAGAGATTTATGCGACGGGATGGGGGAGGGATTAATCTGAATAGATGAATCTGAATTCGAGGGAGTATTCCAGAGCACGGGCCAGCGTGTATACACGAGGGTGGGGGAGGGGGGGGTTTGGTCGGATAATATTTTTGCTAGACCTTGGTCTTGGATAAATCCGGAATATGTGCCTCCAAAGATCGTCGACGCCACGATAGCGCACAGTTAATAACAATTTCATGCCGAGATTTAATAAGAGATGCCGCACAGCCACGGAGAATAGCTGCCGCGAGCTAAGGCGGTTGGTACGTTGTTCGCAGATCGTTTCATCGCGTGCCGCGCCAACAGAAACGTAACTTAATTACCGATACCCCCGATAAACGAAGCCGTTGCTCTTGCCGTGAAAGAAGAACGAAGGAGAAGTGTTTTTATTTTTTTTTTAAATGTATTTTTTGTTAACCCTCGGTGAATGGTGGGTCACTGGACGGACACCCATTCTCGGAAGTCTTTTTTTATTGTTTCGTGAGACAAAACGCTAGAGTGACAGCAAGTGAAGACTTTGGTGCAAAAGCTTTTAGATAAGAACGAAGAAAACTATCATTTGGTGGAACAAATAGTTAAATACTACCAATGGTATAGTTATTATAAAGAAATAATTAAAGTTTTGGTGTAAGAACCGGTCATCTCCAGGAAGGACGATTTTTTAGAAACTGAGGAAAAGTTTCCGAAAATAAATCCAACTAAAATTGAAGATATTTTAATGTTAACTGATCAATATATGTATACCAAAAATCGATCAGTCGTATTACTTATAGATAGTGCCTGTTATAGGAGACTTTAAGAATTAGGGGTACATAGTAGAGATAAGTGAATTAGATGCTTCGGATGTTGATCAAGTGCTGGAATAAATTTCGAGTAATATTTATATTACAAACTATTATGTTTCTGTAAACTAATTTCCTCTTTGTATTTATATCATTATAAACATTAACAAAACTCCTACATCGTTACTTGTTTCAGGCAAAACTCAGTCACTTCCATAATACAATAACATTTTTAAAAAGATTAATTTCAAAGAAAGATTAAGAACAACATCAGGTATATACATATTTGTAAGATTTATAAGTATAGCAAACTATAAATAAATAGGAAAAAAGTTGAATTTTCAATTTTTGGGAAAGTTTTTTTTTTAGTTTCTGAAGAATCGTCATTTCTGGAAATGATATGTACTTGCGTTAAAGTCTTTAACTGCTCTTACGTTAATCGTAGTGATTCTTAAGTGAAAGAAACGAGACAAGGGAAAATATTATTTATACACAAAAGATTTTATTCGTTTCGTATAATTGTCACCGTTGTGTACAGTTAATCAGAATTTTAGCTAAAAATCAATTGGTATTAATTATTGAATTTCTCTGTCTTTATCACTCGGAAAGAGGACTTTTGTGACGATCTAATTTGAAATTTGTGACTGTTCGTCTGCCTTTAAATGCATTTCTGAATGAATTTCTTCAAAATATGCGGGTTTTCTTATAAAACGCTAACATAAAGATCTATACTAAAGTTTCTGAAATCCTGGGTCATAAATGGACCCAAATACTGGCAGTAAATGTTCCGTTCAGACTGACTAAACCATTGTCCCTTCCAAATCGTTCTACATATTCTTTGTAATATTTCTCACAAAATTTTCCAATAATTTGTAAAAATTACAGCGTTGTATGGCGTAAACGGAATCAGTCAACAAAATCAGTTCAGCCCTTAACCTTTTCATTCCAAAATTATTTAACAATCGCGAAACAAATATTTCCTTTTGTATTTTTATCTGTATTACATAGCTTATAAAAAATTCACAAGAACATTTTAACACTTTGAAAGCATTTAGTGCTATTTTTCATACGTTGACATTTGGTACCATTTTTTACTTCTATCACATATAATAACTGACATTAGAAAGTCGTTATACGTAACGAAACTCATTTTTCTTACCTTTGGTCAGTGAACGCTCTTGAAATATTTGAAAGAAACTATTATATACTTCCAGATATGTGAAAAAATACACGATACTAATATTTCGTAATTTAAAATACATAGCCATATGTCGGATCGTAAAATCCGTCGTTAATCGTACGGGATTAGAAAGTAAAAAGCGAATAAATTACACAACGCAACGAAATAAGATCACAAGAATTGAGTACGTACGAACGGTTAAATATTTATAATGTACAAATCAAAGGTTCGTTACCATAATTGAACTAATGCACACCGAGGCAAACAGATCGATCGAATGCCAGCTCAGCCGCTCGTCGTTCGATCCCGATGTAAACATCCGATAGGGGCCGCGACGGTGATTAATTCACGTGGATGAATTGCGATGACAGCGCAGAAATTCGCCGAGAATCAATTCCGCGACGCGTGAAAAGTGCAATGGGCTTCGGCGTTCCGCCCGGTCTGGGGGCAGGTTTTCTTATCCTTTTAATCGAGGCGCGCTCGTACGCGTGCGAACACGCCGCCGCTCTCGCCTACTGATTCATCGTGACAAACTAATTTGCACGCGACAATTACGAGGAATTGCGATGGATCGGCCCTGTCTGCCTAACGCGCACGTCTCTCTGTTTCTCCGCCTACGAGGCAGAACGAACGATTTCTGTTCGTTCCCTTTACCCCGTCCGATAATAATTAATGACCCACCTCGGATCACTGTCGATTACTGGATCTATTGGGTTACGCTCGGTGTTGAGTAATCCGCACGGCTATCGATAGGGGGAAAGCGCAGTATAATTACAGTGGATTTCCTTGGAGACTGTGTTTTCATCACGAGAAGCAGAGAACTTTAACTCCGTCGTATTTGTCAATTTTGCAGATTTTTATTTCACATTTTCTTTTGCTGTATCGCTTCTGTGACTTTATTTACCTGACTCCCTCGTTCTTTTACGTCACATCGACTATAAAAAGGTATTAGTGACGGTTATGTTTAATTATTGTGTCGGCCAAAATGTAATAGTAAAAGCATTGTACAAAAGTGCAGACTCCTCTCGATTATCGTCCCGAATACGGGTCTGCGTCGGGACAATAATCAGATAGGGAGAAATGCTTCAGACCCTCGTAAATTCGTTTTTTTTCCCGAAGCCTGAGTCTCGACAACAAAAGCGTAGGGGCAAAAAAGTATCCATTTGACGGGTTCCACGACCTCCCCCTCCCCCTAGTGGTGGGGATAACGCCTGGACAATAATCGTGGAGAACAAGCCAGACGATAATCGAGAACAGTTTGTAATCCGATTTCTGCCATAGAGATGCTTTTTCAATTTCCGTAGCAAGCATTGTTTGTAAGTAATAAAATATGTACATATTTTGAAAGCTGATACTTCTATTGCATCGGTTAAAAAAATCATTATAATTGCGTTGATTTAACTCTGTTTTGAAGATAAGTAACGAGAAAGTGCACTTTCGAGCAATCACGCTTTTTTATTTTTGTTCGTTTACAGCACCATCACCATTCACGTGGAAAATCATTTTTGTTGTTTGTGCCCATTTTTCTTTTTCTAGAAGTAAAAAAGCACAATTACTGAAAAGTACACCTTCGCATCACTCATGTTCAAAACTAGGTCAATTGAAGAAAGTTTAAAATATTTTCAAAGCAAAATCAAGTGAAAAACACAATCGTAATGATTTTCTTTTTAAATCATGCGTTGAAGTGTCAGCTTTCAGAGTATGTACATATTCTATTAGTTAGAACCAGTGCTTAGTGTATGTAGAATAACGATAAAAGCGTCCAATACCGTGGAAATCAAGCATTACGTTGTGGCTAACCCAATATATTACACTTGCAAGTAGTTTCGTTTCTTTCAGGCATTGGAGTGGTAGTAAATTTTTTTATGGTTGGAATAGTTCTCTTTCAACCCTTGTTCACTGTTCAATAAAGTGTTGCATTTCTATCCCTTAAATTAGACTTAGTCCAACCGAAAATCGAAATAAGAAAACATAGATCGTTCCATCGTTATGTATGTAAACTATTAGTATCAAATTGATTTTCAAGCTTGCCTGGTAAAGAATATAATTAAAAATTAAAGTCTGAGTTTGTGTCAAGTTGATCCTAACAATGCATGAGGGTTCAATTGTAACTTATGTGCTTTTTATCGTAATATCAGTGTATGATTAAGTGGTTGACATTTATTTGTACGTGACATTTGACATAAATTGGGGGACTGGCTTTCAAGAGTAAATGAGAATGGGTTGTTTTTGTATGTTGAATTTTGATTCGGGAAATCATGATTTGTTATTTTTTTACTAGGTATGGTGGTCTATTCTTAGTTGTAAATTATGTATATTCTTCCATTCTGTTTCCCATAACGTTTTTACTTTTTTTAAAGTGTATTGTAGAGATCATTTAAGAATGCGTACTAATAAAAAAATATTCACTTTTCCACTTATTTAGCTAGAAGTTCTATCGTTTAACTGTCAATCATTTTTTACAGAAGTATTCATTTTCATCTTCAATTTAAAATAACATCAGAACAGGACTACCGATAAAACGGAAAATCTCTAATTACGAAACATTGTCGAGTGTTTATACGAATCAGGACAAGCAAGAAAACTTGAATAGTAGACTCATTGGAATCTGTGAACGGAATCTAGAACTCGTTAGCTAGCGGAATGATCAAGGTTTCAGGAAATACGAGAAAGATCGCGTTTAACTGATTAATCGAAAAATCACCTCGTGAACAGGTTACAATCGCTTTCCATTGAAGTGTTTGTTTGTATTATTATTTTCATTGTCAATTTAAAAAAAGGTCAGGAGAGAATTATTTGAAGAGAGTCGAGTGTTTACACGAACCATGAAAACCAGGGAACATATGAATAACAGATTCAATGGAATTGAAGGGTACAGGGTAAAAAAAATGAGTATTCACTTAATATTACTTTGAATAAAAATAACTGTTAACATTAGAGATGTTGAAATGGCAATAACTTGGAACTTTCATCTCTCATTCCATTTCTAAATACAAATATGAATTTCACAGTACAAAATACATCCTTATGTATCCAAATATCATATTACACACGTTGCTGCATATGAAATGTCGTTTCACAAATCGAACATTTAATCGCACGTAGTTCGTCTAACACCATTTAAACGCTATTTCCCTTGTTGTTTGTCGTGGATTAGTTTCAATAATATCCCTTGACATTATAATCGATGGTATTTCTCGCCTCTCTCTAAAAAAATCACGAGCCTTGATTTTTTTTTTTTTTTTTTTTTTTTTC